CGGCAAACTGTTCAGCGCACTGACCACTCCCCATCTAACCATCATCATCACCACCACCACAATCATCATCATCAACATCATCATCATCGTCATTATCGTCATCGTAATCATCATATCATCATCATTATCAGCAAGTTGGTTGAGGGTGTGAAACACACCACAGCTAGTGTGCCGCACCGCTTGCTTGAACAATGACTTGTCGACTGGACTGGAGGGACGCCCTGCGATTGCGTGTGAGTGGAAACTAGAAGACAAGCGACTATCAAAGCATGGTGGGGGGGGCCAAGAATTAGGGATTGAAAACAGTGCAGAGAGAAGTGAAGTTGGAGCGGGACAATAAGGATGGAAAAGCGCAAGAGCGGGAATAAGAAGACGGGAAGGTCTGAGTAGTAACATCCAAACCCGTATCCACCCTGCTCGATGCAACAGATATGGCGCCATTTATTATCCCCTGTGACGACCAGAGCATCAAGAAATTGTTTGAAGGGAAAGTCATTGTGTTATATTGCGTAGACAGGACACTGTCAGGCTGCCAAGACCTAGACAGAAGAAGGATTAGCGTTCTTAACCTAAGCCTTTGGTTCAAAACTCCTACCGCAAGGCAGCAGGAATTTGGTACTGAGCTAAAGAGAGTCCGTTTCGTGGAGTAAGGAGTCGCTCTCACTCACTTCTAACCTAGAAATCCAGGAGATTGTGTTTGTCTAGCCTCTAACCGTTGACCAATCTAGCAAGTGGCTCTGGAGGTGCAAAAATCAACAACCAGCATAGCTCGAAGGATCATTGAAGCACACAAACCATCGCATCACGTTGAGGTCCACTCTCGTCGCGATGGCATAGGGAATGGGGAACCAGCTACAGATCTGGAACCACAAGCTTGTATTGGTGTTCGTAGCCTAGAGGTAACGAGCATGTCTCGTAAGCTTGCTGCGCAGGTTCGAGCCTGCGTAGGGGCAGGGCAGCCCTCGTAGTATCCTTAGCTCAAGTGCGACCGGTGGTGGTTGCGCGGAAACGAAGCCTCGGTACTGCTTACCGGGATACTGTCGATGCTTTATTATGCTTTTGGTGTCCGCATGTGCTGCAAGATTTTCGCAAGTGCAGCAGTGGTCTCAGCATAGAGAAGTCCCCTAAATATAGAATGCATCAGGTCATTATGAGTTCGACTCGCAGCCGACGATAGGACAGGATGTACAGTCACAGTCTCTCGTACCTGTCTTAGTACAGTAAAACCCATAAAATCGTGATGAGTTTGGCAGCGACATTTTGGACGTGTTCGTTCTTCTGCGCCTCGGCTCGAGTGGTCGGGCATCATACTCTAGCAGTGACCGCATGATGGAGGAAAGAAAGGAATCAACAGTTCGCCTGTACGCACTACTATACATGCTTCGTTGTCAAGTAAACATCACCAGTCGCGCGTGGACTAAGGGTACTTAGAGGGTTGCCCATTCCCCTACGCAGGCTTGAAGCCGTGCCCTCAGATTACAATGCAGACCTGTGATCCTTACGGCCATGGGCCGGCGATGGAGAAGAAGGAAGTGGAAAGCAGATGCAAAAGTTGCGTTTGAGCGCACAGAGCATGTGCGAGCTATTGGTGTGCAGCCTATACGTAATATAATAGGTCATGGACCTTCAAGATACACGCAGCATGTGGCTGTTGGCGGTGAAGAGTTAGGTTTGGCCGTCACAAGCCTTCCCCAAGCTCATACATCCCGGTTTGAACGGGCTGACTGGGAGGCGAACATCTGCAGACTACGCGGAGATGCAGTTGTGAATTTACTGAAGTACGCTGCAGTCATCGAAAGTACTAATCACTCTCGACATCTTCAGGCAGTTTGCAAACAGGACACATGACAACCGAAGAAGATGAGGTGGACTGGATATAAATCAGGAACAATGTAGGCCCAAGCACCGTGTCTTGGGGCACACCACTTGTAGACGGATACTAGTCAATTAGATGGCTGTAGACATGTACTTTCCATTCTCCCACAAAGAGAAACTCGAAGGTCCATCGGTGAAGTGAGCTAAGTAAAACCGCAAACTCTCGGCCTGTGAAGATTCTCATGGTTCATCATGTCGAAAGCATTCCTGAAATTGACAGACTTCTCTTGGTTAACTGCTTGCGAGCATTCAAGTCTCGTCACCACGCATGAACGACCTGCCATGAAACTGCTACACGGGCACCAAGAGAACTTTGGACAAAGAGAGGTGTAGCTAATTCTTCTTCACAATCTTCCCGACTACCTTGGCCAAAACGCGTGTCGAACGAATTGACCTGTAATTGTCTGCTTTGTTTAGGTCACCACCTTTCGGAATCGGCCTTACAACCCAGAAATTCTAACCAATCTGCAACGAGCCTTCGGAAAGCGGTCTGTTGAGCAGGTCAGTCACGGGAAGTGAGACGATGGCCGATAAAGGCATGAGAATCAGTGGGTAAAGCCCATCAGGCTCAGCAGAATTGGCGCCGTCAAGATTGACGAGTAGTTGAAACACCTCTTCAAAGCCACAATCCAAAGTGTCGATTTCGGGAGGGGCGGTGCACGTCAAACAGACACTTGGTCATGCGCAAACATAGTGCGCCACCAATGTAGACGAAGGCTCAGTGCTGGAGATCAGGAGCTGTCCGTCAAATCCCTCACTGGCAGGCCAATGCAAGTAAGCAAGGACTTCTTGGGGGCGGTCTCCACGGTGGTTGTAAGCTGCTATTCAGGATGTTGGCGCTTGTTCTCTTTTGCGTTGTTAGAAACATTTCCCTGCCTTTTGTCCGCCTCGTAGTCGTCCACCGAGCCAGAGATAAGGAACTGGTTTCACAGTCTGCGTCGCCGCCGAACCAATTTACCATATTCCTTACCGAACCAATGTGTCTTAGCCAACCCAACTTTCCGACACCTGAGATTCACAAACTGGTTACACAATGAGTTTAATCCAACCTTTATAACTGATCAGTAAGCTTCAACAGATGCAGTTTGCGGCAGAGACCAATCCTCTTGGCTGGCGGCTCGAGTCAGGTAGTGGAAATCCGTTATAAGCTGGCTCCAGAGCATGGGAATGTTGCAGCGGCATCTCCAAGTCGGCAATGAGAAATGTGTAGCCGCTTGCTGCCAGAGGCTCTAAGATCTGAACGTAATACACATTCTGTCCTTAGCTTGTTAGCATCAAGTCTATGGACGATAGATTTGAGCGCGGTGTTATGCGCCTGGGTTAGCAGCTGCGTTGTGTCTCCCAGTTGCAAGTACCGCATCCGCGAACTTTGCTTCGGCCTCACAATATATGTGGATAAGTTGAAATTCAAGTCAGTGAACTCGAGGACAACAGAAATCGCCAATGAGTAAAGATGGGAGCGACTCATGTGGCCCTGGAGATGCGACAGCTAATCCAAACAACGCCTCAGGGGAATGCAAAAAAACGCACGGACGATCAGATCTCGGTGCTTCAGGTGGTTTGAGCCCCACAACTGCTCATATAGGTCATTATCACTTCGGTAGGCGCTCAGTCTCTAACACAGAGAAGGCCGGATGTAGAGCCACACACCACCGCGGACATTCGATAGTCAAGCACAGCGGAAGCACAACTAGCCACTAAGCTCAACTTCCTGACTGAGTGCCTCATCATTCAAGCACGTCACTGCGAGTCAAACTACACCTGGTTGCTCAGAAGCAACGAAGTCGTAGGGCTTATCTCGCTAATTCATATGACTGTAGACGTTGGTAAAGGCTACAAGTCGAGGTAGGAACCTCCAGGCGTGCTTGAAGAGTGGGCGATCGATTTATCGGAATTCGCGTTAGTATTGAAACCACTCAAAAACTTGCATTTTGTAGTTTTCTTTCTCACCGGTCCGCCGCTTGAGCTCGGTCATAGTACACATCAGGTCCTTCGGCCAGCCAGACCTATATCCGGACAATAGGCACCTTCGTTCGCCTCTCAGCAGAAACAGAACTAGCTTCTAGCTAGCCTCGGCAAAAGTTACCCTTACGTAGGTCGGTCGTTTGCGGCAGTTTTGGTCGAGGAGAATGACTTGCTTCACTTTCACACCGGTTCCACCCAAATTGAGGAGCCTATCAAATATGCTCCGTAAAAATCCAACTAGTGATCTAGAACGTGTCTAGAACTTGGATCAGTGCTAAAAACTTAGATCCGATCGCAGACTCTTCGTCATCCCAACAAGTGTATCAAATCTAACGTGTTTATCATATTTCGGGTCACAAGCAGAGAGTAAAGAGGCATCAGTCGCGACATTAAGCTCGAAGTGAGAACATGTTTCGCTCAAGAGTGTAACCGTACAACTTCAATGGGATCCATTTGGTGTTGGCAACACAGTCTTGAGGGACACGGAACTAGCGGTGCCTTTCTAATTACTATACTTCTATGACCACAGTCAAACGAGGAAGAGTTTTGGTTAAACCGCACCTTTTTTGTTCAGACGCCGCCCGGCGTGAGCCGGGAAGTAACAAACCTTAAATATTTCCCTTTGTCACAGACAATTAGTGGTGCGCGTGCTCTGTAACAGGCAAGCTAAGTCAATAAATCGTAACGGCTTGCCCTCATAGATGTCTCGAAGATTGACACCGATCTCTCCCCTATTTCCAAAGAAAGTGATCCTAAGACTGAGTGTGCCATATCCTTACTGCTAATTTCTCTGGTAAGAGTGTTCTTGAAGGCGCGTGTAGAAGGTTCAACTTAGTCTTGAAGAACAATGGGTAACTAACTTAACAATACACACTTAACCCAAAGGTGTCCAAGAGAGCGCAAATAATGCGTGGAGTGGATATATTCCGACTAGCTCAGGGCTGAGAAGGACGATGTTGTCCAACGAGTCGAAACTGTCCAAGAAGTAATTGGGACAATGGCCAGAGAACTGATCTACAAGCAATTGGGTTGACGATCGGTCCACATAGATTAGAAAACGGATGATCTGTGTCAAAAGGTCCCTAAAAGAACGGCAGGGCTGATCAAGAAAAACCCAGAAAGCTCTAAGATGATGAAGTATTTGTGAATGGGCCACTCATTCAACCGCGTGAAAGACTCCGATTGCACAGTGATGAAATGGCCGCCATAGTGAGCGTCGACGGTGGGAAATGCAATTGTGGATCCTCATTACGACGTCGTCTGTGACAGAGGCAAGACAAAGAGTCAAGTTAACCAAAAGCTAGATAGTGACACATCCACGGATATGTGGGGGCGATATGTTCACAGGATTGAACGTATTCATTCGGGTCTCGGTGTTAAATCGGATTTTCAATGAGATTGGTTCCCGCTACCTGTAGTTATGCCACGTTTTTGGCACCCAGTATATGGAACACAAGTGTAGTAAGCAGTTAAACTGCTGCATCTGCTGGGGACGACTAAAGTATCATGTGCGAAGACTGCGCTGCAAGATTTGATGCATGTTGCGTAACACGTGGAGCAGCAAGCATGTGAGTAAGGTGAGATCAAATGGCACGTGAGCAGTTTTACTGTAGATCCGAGTGGGTCACATGACGATAAACGTGAAGAACTATGTGCTGAAGATCACGAAAATGATCAGGTCACCGCGTCAAGGAGTGAATGAGAATATGCAGCGGCAAGCAAAATCCGGTGGAAAGAAACGGACAAATGTACTTACTTTAGAGTCAGTTTGCACAGATTCTGCATGCAGCCAATGCTATCTGGTAAATGCCGAAGCTGATTGTGTTGCAGATTAAGACTCCGTAAGGATTTGCACTTTCCGATACCTTGATAACAAGAGAGAATGAATGTTGCGAAGGTAGAAAGACGCGTTGGTAGAGAAATGTAAAAACTACCTACAAGCGCAACAGTAAATATCACGGGCTGATGTCTCAACGACACGCAACCACAAGCAGTTGTATGCAAAATGAGATATTACTAAGGCGTGCAAACCGAGGAAAGAGCGAAGGCTCAAAATCTGGGGTGCAGAGGCAGCATTATCTGCGAAGCCGGTGTCTGGATGAAAGAGGAGGAAGAGAAATCAACCGATGACTTGCTCAAAAGGCATGAAGTCTCTCACTTTGAAGTTGCCTTCGGTCGGAGTGTCTCGACTAATTTCTTGAAGTCCAAGAAATAATGAGCAAGTTTGGTTGGACACACGTGTTGACATACCGAAAAACTGACCCAAATGAAGTCTGTGGGTTTCTTTATCCTGCCCCCTCTCGCTTACTTTCGTCCCGTCAATCACGATCTCGTCGTTAATGAGTAATAATATTGTTTTGCTTTACCTTCGCCGTTTGTTTTTTTCCTGCCACCTGATTGAATTGTATTGCGGCAGGGTAATAGGGAATTTCCTCAACTCCAAATGAATGAAGGAATAATAATCCCCTAAACCATTACTAGTCGGCCGGTGGCCGAGTGGTCTGCACGTTTGCTTTGCAACCATAAGGTCACCGGTTCGAATCCGCGTAGGAGTGGGTGTCCTCGCGGTATACACAGCCCGCGCGCGACTGGTGGTGGTCGCGCGGCAGCGAAGCGCCGTTACGGCGTACAGCTGACACATTATTATTATTCATTATTAAACCATTACTACATCAAAGGCCCTAATCCGCAGTGGAAGAATGAGAGTTGTGTATTGCATTTCAACATCGCAAGAAAGAATGCTGCGAGAAGTAATGGGATCATCAATAGCGAAGGAAATTTCTTAGTACGAGTAAAAAGAAGGGGATATCTTCAACCCGACAAAGAAAAAATCGGGAAACAACCGCCCAGATGAAAAGCATTTGTTAATCGAAAAATGTAACCCCTGCCGTTCTCACAACCGTAGTTTGGAGCATTTAGCGAGGTGCTGATAACCAGCTGTGCGAATGACAGTGTCTTCGCAACTTACGCATATTGCTGAGTGGTATATTTGCAAATCGAACTCCCACCATTTGAGTAATGTTTCCAATTGAATAAGTGCAAAACTGTGGTACTACTATCATTGTAAAAGTGGGCCAATGCGACACCCGAGGCCAAGTAACGACGAACGAGAAGTCGTTTAACGTTCTCTAGAAAAGGCGGAGTGCATAATGGCCGGCTTGATTCGAAAACTTACAGCAACCGGAGAAAAAAATACTCGGAGATGAAACAGGGCTATGTACTGACTTTGTTGAATAAACCAATATATAAACGCCCCTGCACACCAAAGAAAAAAGTATAGACAGTACCGCGCGGAAATCCCATCAAATCTTAGAATAGCCATAGAACCAATACAGTAGATGACTACTTAGTTTGCGTAAGAATCAGCATCAGCATTGCTGGTCAGATCTATAGGGTGTCTAAATAATTACTTCAGAAACTAGAAGCGGCTGCGCTCACGTGCTGACGTACCCCGGCACGCTGAATTACCAACTGTCCAATGGCGCAAACTGCTTTGTCGAACGTGCCAGCAGGGGTGAAATGGGACACAGATGCGGGTCCTGTGTGTTTACGATCGCAGGGCACAGCAAGGGAACGGAGGCTGTTCGGCTGTGAGAAATGAGTGTTAGCCAATCACCGAAGCCGCAACCGAAGTGTCATGCTTCGAGCGCAGGGCAGACAAACGGAACTCAGGCCGTTCGGCTGCGAGAAGTAAATGTTGGCCAAACACCAAAGCCGTACTAGATCGGTTGGCAGACGGTTTTCACGCAGGTTAAAAAAGCCAGCAAAAGGGATCCCTGTAAACAAGTTAGTGGCTCGGTATACTAGCAATTGAGCAGAAAAGCCTGGCCCTATGCGAAGACCGCTCGATAAGCGCCGGTTGCTATTGCAATATATGACAAAAAAACAATCACGACAAAATCTGTCATAGCCTCAACACTGGGTTCCAACAAACCCGGGAGCTTTTGTAAGGCTGCTTTCGCTGCTAAGGAGTATCATACTGCCAGGAGCACTTTCTAAGGTTACAGTCTTGTTCGCTGTAGACAATACTTTTAGAGTTAATTCTGCTCCGACGCGCTAAAGGCGCCATTAGACAGCACAACCAGTTGGTCATGAATGCAACTATTGCCCTCGCAATCAGACAATTGCTCAATATAGGTTGAGTGTCGCAACTCAAGGACACAGAGGGTTCTCCAAGTCCAACTCTGAATTTCTTTCGGCTGGACTAAGCGTTGCTCGCGTATCTCAGTGGCATAGTGCTTATGGCCACAGCCGTGAACAACTAGCTTCCTAGTTTCACCCCAGCTCAGGCTATCTCCACCTGATGAGTCCAAACCAGGACTAAACCGCGGTCGTGGTATGCAAGTGTTGGGAGGAGCTACACGGAAATATTTCCAGACAAGTGCTTGTTGTACAAACTGAGCATGCCTTCGATGGCGTTGCTCGTGTTTAATCGAGAATATACATTTATTTAGTTATTTACTTACGTTTACATGAAATGTGTGAGATGTCCGTAAATATCAGTGGATGAGGTGTTCGAAGTGCTCTCCGTCGTTTTGTTTGCACATCTAGCATTCGCCTGACGGTATTGGCAAGCACTTTCTGCAATGGCTCCAACGAGGTCCAGCTTCATTCATTCGCAATCTTGTCTTCCAATTCATTCAGGTGGTTGGGTTTTGTTCTACAAACTCTACGCTTCAAGTATCTCCATAGGAAAATTTCTAGGGGATTCGGATCCGGTGACTGCGCAGGTCAATCTTTCGGTCCTCCGTGAACGATCCAACGTCCACCAAAGTCTCGTTCAGATAGCCACGAACCGTTTGCACCGAATGTGCAGGTGCGCAATCCCGCTGTCACTAAGCGGTATTCAGTAAGCCTTCGGACTGCAGCAGCGGAATGACGATGATCTGCAATATTCCTAAGTACGAAGATGCTAAGAAAGGTTAGACACCAGTACCGTTAAACAACAACCTACCGGACACACTCCTAGAAAAGAAAAATAGGCCGAGGACTTTTCGACAAGTCAACCCAACCCAGGCCCTGAGCTTCGCACTATGTTGCACTGATGAAGCGAAAGATAGCCGTGAGTTAGCTGTTACCCAAATATGTTGCGTCTCTTCACAATGCAGACGGAAAACCGCCTCATCGGTGAACACAACAGAATGTGTGTTCAGGCTGTCCAAAAACAAACGGCCGAATTCCAGGCGGTTCTGTGAATCGAAGTGTTCAAAACTTGCACCTCCAGTGCACTGTATTGCCACATTGCATGCAGTGTGGCAATGCAATGTTGTGCGAGTTGCCCAATGCCTAGATGGCTCTTGCTGCATACCTCTTGCATAACCGCGCAAGCTGATACCACAACCGTGAAGATCCGAGGCCGTCCGGTTTGTTGGATCTTGCAAACGCTGACCGTTTCCACAAATTTCTTAACCACTCTATTCACATACCGATCGTTAAGTGGCCGCCTAACGCAGTGCATAGTGTTGTAGCGGGTATGGGGATACTTGAAGTGTAGAGTTTATAGAGCAAAACCCAACAGCTTCGATGCACTGAAAGAAAATATTGCGAACGAATGTAGCCGGATCTCATTGGAGCCATTGCAGAAAGTGCTTGCCAATACCGTCAGGTGAATGCTGATGTGCAAACAAAACGACGGAGGGTACTTCGAATACCTCATCCATTGATATTTACAGACATCTCACACATTTCATGTAAACGTAAGTAAATAAATAAATATATATGCTCCATTGCACACGAGCAACACCATCGAAGGCATGCTCAGATTGCACAACAAGTGACTGTCTGATTGCGAGGGCAATAGTTGCATTCATGACTAAATGGGTATGCTGTCTAATGGTGCCTTTAGCGTGTCGGGGCAGAATTAAATCTAAAAGCATTGTCTACAGCGAAAGCAGCCTTACAAAAGCTCCCGGGTTTGTTGGAACCCAGTGTTGAGGCTATGACAGATTTTGTCGTGATTGTTTTTTTGTCATATATTGCAATAGCAACCGGCGCTTATCGAGCGGTCTTCGCATAGGGCCAGGCTCTTCTGCTCAATTGCTAGTACAGTGAGCCACTAACCAGTTCGCATGAAAACAGTCTGCCAACCAATCTAGTACGGCTTTGGTGTTTGGCCAACATTTACTTCTCGCAGCCGAACGGCCTGAGTTCCGTTTGTCTGCCCTGCGCTCGAAGCATGACACTTCGGTTGCGGCTTCGGTGATTGGCTAACACTCATTTCTCACAGCCGAACAGCCTCCGTTCCCTTGCTGTGCCCTGCGATCGTAAACACACAGGACCCGCCTCTGTGTCCCATCTCACCCCTGCTGGCACGTTCGACAAAGCAGTTTGCGCCATTGGACAGATGGTAATTCAGCGTGCCGGGGTACGTCAGCACGTGAGCGCAGCCGCTCCTAGCTTCGGACGTCATTAAGAAAACACCCTGTATGAGATTACCATGCGTACCAGAAAGGTCCAATTATTCAAGGAAACATGGAAACAGGCGGTCGCATGTGGCCACCTGCAAGCACGCAAACTGACACGAACGGGACCGACTTTAAGGCGGCCGGGCATGTTGACGAGCAGCTGGATCGTAGGCTTAGGTCTCAGTCGAAGCGATGATTGGCACGCTACGTGGCGCTTTCACGCTACTCCCGAGGAATCAATCTGAGAAAATTCCAGATCGATTAATATCATCCAGTAAAAGTGGATACACCATTCCTTCCGTCCTGGATGGGGAAAATCATAAACTACCATCTGGTTTGTGTGGCCAACCCGGCTACAGCACAATTGCAACAGTTGGAGAACTTTCTACCAGAATTTGCTTTATGGTGTTAGCAAATGGTGAATAAAAAAGTGGAACTATGTGTTTGCTGTCACGGCAAGCACTTGCAGTACGAGCAGCACAGTACACACAAGGTTGAGGATCGTTTTGGGTGAGCAGCTTCTCCGATGCTTCGGTAGTTCGCCTACATGCGGATTCACTGGGGGCACTCTTCACACACTGTGCTACTGATGGAGCATAAGCCAGTTGAAGAGCAGACGCACTCAAAAGATAAGGTTATCTCTTGGCCGGTATAAGGTCCACCGAGTGATGTAGTTGAAGGTGCTCGAGATAACAGAAGCAGTGAGATATCACCTCAGTAGCCAAGATTAGAGAGTGCAGAGTAGCGATGCCGCGGCCATCACGGCGTGCATCGAGAGATGACCACTGCAAACCGAAGACGCTATGAGGGTACTTGACTGCCGATATTGATGGCATATTACTCGTATCTGGTGAATGCACCTAGCGAATACTAATGAGATATGCTAGTTAGTTCTTAATAAGAGATCAGTTGGTCCTGCTAAAAATGGCCTGTCGAATCTGGAGAATCCTCTATGAATAGATTATCAACATCGGAAACAAACTGACTAGATACAATCTTCGATCTTGGGAGAAAACGAGAGTAGCTGAGAAATGCAGCTCACGTGTATAGGATGAGTGTGGTTCTCGGTAGACCGAAACATCAAGTGTGGATGAACCAGTATAGAACCATCGAAGGTAAACTGATGGTAGACAGGTTGGTGCTACAGCCTGTGGCTCTGCAACCGAAACGTTATTCATTTCAGTCGCTGGGTACTGGATTGTTAACAATGACCCAAGCACACAAGTGTATCAGAAACAACAATGCCTGATACACAGGTGGCATAAGCACATAGACAGGAGTTCGTCCAACAAAATGGGGTCGCATGACATGTGCACAAGTTTGACTCAATCAGACCGGCATGGTTAGCCATCAAAGTGGTCACGAGAAATCCAGCTTGGAAAGGTGATGGTCACGTTGAATGGGTAAATGGCGGTCAAACTAAAAGATACTGCTACCAGTTTGTTGATCGAGCAAACAATGGGGCTAAGAGCCCACATACTGTGCAACAAACCTGCGACTGAGATATACCTGTACCAGTGGTCGTATTACCGCAGGCTTGGTGCCCAGCTCCCAATGCCTTGTAAGGTCTATCCGAAGCTGTTGCAACCACGAACAAGCTGTCAATCCAACTGATATCACCACCGCAATTACCGACGCCAAGAGACTGCCAATTATTGTTAATTATGATGGGGTTCCCGATTTTTTTTGACAACGCTCGATTCAACGGGCGGTTCAATCATGGAACGAAGTACGGTCCAACACTCGTGTTACAGAGGTGTGGGACGCAAATCCATCCTAGTTGTACGACAAAGAGGGAGTAGGGATTGGTCAGGAATTAATCGTGACTCCGTGAAGGCAATGAACGTGTTCGGCGTCGAGTGATTCGTGCTTGGAAAGCGAGCGAACCGCTCAGCACCGTTATATCACGCACCAGACTCCGATGGTTGGGCCACGTATTGCGCATGCCAGCAAACCGATTACCACATCGTGTGTTGATTGCGCGCCTGGGGTCTGGATGGAACAGGAGGGATGGTCAAAAGGAATGAAGTCCTTCACTTCAAACTTCGCCTCGGTTAGTGTTTCCTGACCTCCAGATTGGCATGGCGGGGAGCCGATGTCAATGGCGTTTGTGTTGTGAGTCGCTTTGTTCCTACCCTCTAGCTTTCCCCTTCAACATCGATGTCAAACCCAAAGTATAATGTGATTTTAGCATCATGTTGCTTTTTTAGCTTTTGTAGTCTGTCATGTATTGTATTGCGCCACATTAGCTGAGGTGCGTTTCTCACGATAGGTTAACGTGTATCGAGGATGATGAGGAATCGTGACTCCTATCTGCATTTCCTCCGATCATCAGGTTTACCGTGGATACGTGGTGCATGGGTGGAGTTCTGGACGATGTAGCACAAGTCCCCTAGTGTGTCACCGTGGCCGCAACCATTACATGATAAACCAATGGAGAAACAGATGATGCAAGTCAAGCTCATTAACTATCATCCTCGGCGAACACTGTCCACCATCAATGTAACCATCCAGATCGAAAGCGCAGAGTGAGTAGAGATTTGAGAAAACGAATGTAAATCTGGCGGATGCTTGGTAGGCCCGTTACACGTTATGAAAGGTAGAAAGGTGATCACACAACCTACATAAAATAACAGGCACAAAATCAGCTGGGTTCCGGAAGTCGATCTTCTTCATCTAATTGGTGATTGCAATCATGTTCTGATTAATTGCCTTTCTTCCGTAACATTTTCTGGTGAGCTGAATATACGACAATATCTCTTTTGCATTTACTACTGTTAGCCAACAATGTTATGCCAACATGAGTCATGGTATACGGATCCGTCTCACCTCTGTGCACACATTACGGCTAACCAGTCAAACCGACAGCTGCAAGCATGGCGCGGTGACAGCGTGACGAAAAGATTTTTTCGTAAAACAAGCGAGAACCACTTAAAAGAGTGGAAAACAAAGAGGCACACTTTGCAGAATGGAAGATATGGAGAAGGATAGGAAAAGGTCATTTCGATCTCACAGTACACAAGATGCACCATAAGGTACGTGGACAGTTTTGAAATGTTCGACCAACAGAACACAGTCATTGTATTGCTAGGGTGATGCGGCAGGGCGGGAGACGTGGATAGGTGCATATCTGACAAAAACACGAGTCAGGTTAGAGGTCAAAAGCAAGAAGCCTAGAGGTTAACGCATCATGAGAACAAACTCACTCTCAGGCAAGGATGTGATCTGATTGTGGGATAAATCCAGTGTGGTCAAGTGTGTCAACTCTCCAACTGTCTCAGGAATTTCCTGCTTCAGAGAGTTATGACAAATGACAAGACAGGTCAAGTTCTGAAAAGAAAGATAGAGAGAAATCCTAGGGAGAAGTCGAATGAAAAACAAACCAAATAGCGAACGAAGATAAACCAAAAAGGAATCAAGATAGTAAAGTATCAGAAATGCGTGCTGCGCAGCTTTAATCGAGATTAGTTGCGTTAGACGAACGGGGAATAAGAAGAAAAACATAACTGGACAAGCGGCTTTGTCTAGACCAAGTCATCGCTTTGCCTCTTCTCCTCATCCAACCGCACCCCGGCGCGCAAACGCACGTCGCAGGAGTCGGTGTGCTGGCATGTACAAGAATTGGCCCAGCCATCGGAGCCTGGTGCGTCATATAATGTTGCTGAGCGGTTCACTTGCTCTTCCTGCACCCAATACGCAACACAGGACACATTCATTGCTCATATAGTGCTCCCACCAGACATGAGCTAAACTGCGAAGGCAGCGATGATCGAAAGTGACTAGCTTCTTTATGTCTGTCGACCTGATTTGCCAGATTTCACAACCGTATAAAGGGTCGAAGGGACGGCTACATTACAAAACTCTGCCCTTCACGATTAGAGCGATGCCGGGACTGCTTCATAGGTGAAAGAGATTGGCAACAGCACCTCGAACTTTTCCTATACAGTTAGTAACCTCACCTTCGATCCCACGGGTGATAATTTAGATGCCCAGGTATTTGAATTCCTGAATGACTCCTAGCTGGCCGCCACTAGGGGTAAGCGCAGGGGTGGACCCCTGCCAATCTTGGAGAAGGACTTTGCATTTCGATGGAGCAAACCATAGCCCAAAACAACTAACAATCAGTGCTATCAACCAAGTGCTGCCTGGTAATGAAGTCCGCATATCATGTCAAGAAGTCGCTCACCAGAAAGTAGCTCCACACTGAAGGTCGTGTCCAGCGCACGTTGCTTCCATGACTGCGTCAATGGCGAATCTAAAGAGGAAAAGTGACAGCCAGCAATTCTGTCTCACACCGCTGGAGATATTGTAGGATGGCGACAGTTTGCCATAAACCCACACTCTGCTCGAACAATGCGTGTGCAGCGCTCTGATTATGTTTACGCATTCATCAGGCATGCCTTTCCTCAGCAGACAGTCAGAGAGGGCACATCGATTGACTGAATCGACGGCACCTTTGATATCGAGAAACACGACTACGGTGGGTCGCCAATAAACATGGCGGTGTTCCAACACTTGACACAAAGTAAAGACCTGATCGCTCTAGCCCCGACCTCGACGAAAGCCGCACCGATTAAGTGTCACGGCTCCGACGAACTTCAGTACTCTGACTTTTCCACCTCGATAGACAATCGTAAACGTTGAATCAGGGTCAACTCAATGGTCTGTACCGATAAGGCGTCCAGTGATGGATGACACCGGCAGGTTGCCTGTTGTTCCTGTCCCATTGCTTGTTGTGCCGTCGTCTTAGTAACCCACTTCGGAACATGCTTCCCAATCCGCTTACCCAGACAACGATCTGTCTCGCCAATGTAATTGCCTCTGTAATTGGGTGGTTAACTGAAACCCGTTCACCGAGGTGCAGTGGATTCAGTAGCGTCGATGGATGCTGCCTTAATTACTTGTGACAATAGTATAGTAGATAATTAAAATAGTCAGATGATGTATTTAAGGGGTCGGAGTAGGGAAACCAATGTAAGAGCCCCAACGATGTCATGTTTACGTCATATTTCAGAGGCCATCCCAAGGATCATGTATATGGAGATGGTCGGCACAAGCCCGCCTTGGCATACCCCTGAGTCGCTTCATGCCATTTTGACAGATTTCTGACTGGTACCTCGAGATTTTACCCAACCAGGAGCATCATTAGTACATGTTAGGGCGGCCGGGTTGAAGGTACATGCAGCACCTGACGTAGCCACTGTAGGAGAGTTCACTTCAACAGACACTACACCAGTACGACAGCACGGTCTATTTACAAAAAACAAATTATTAATTGGTTGGGCCAATATTTCGCGAACATCGGCAGTTCAAGATATTCCGTGTGTTAGCGCTCTCAACATGCAGCGGCCAGATACCTGATTCACATACAGTAACATTGACTGTGTCGTGAAGCTGTAACACTTTCAGATCAATTAATTAGCCCATATCCCACCGTCTCAACAAGTGATAGGTGACTTGAAAACTAACACGGGTTCCTTATGCATGCGTGCGTTAAGAAAATGCGACCAACAGAGGGGATACTCCCACCAAAGTAAACCGATCAGCCAGCTCCAGAATTCGTTCGTTGGTTGCGAGAATTTCTGCCATATATCCCAGGTCCCATTACAGTGGATCGTAGGTATCAGTCAACTGCGACAGATGAGACCTCGTACACTGTTGACAGTCGATCATTCTAAGGAGGGAAATTCACGATAAGTTCGATCACCACTTGAAGGAAAAGGAAGAGAGAGAGCATCCGAGATGCACTTTAACCGCCGAGGGGAACTCGGGATGTTTTCCAGAGACCATTACATGGCCTGGGTATGATGGCATAGCATTTATGGAACTTAAAGAAACTGCTCCCCCCACAAATGAAATATTGGCATTAACACAAATGGTTGTGAGAAACAGAGGTAAGAGAACCGATCAACCCAAAAAGGACCATCAGGATGCATAAGTTGTCATGTGATCGTGTTTAAGCAACCGGTGGGGCGTAAAAAAATGGGAATGTGTTCTCTGTAGGATAGAGGATACTGATCACTGGTCCATCAGAATTGCTAGGAGGATACGGCTTCTCGAGTGCAAACCAGCGGACCACGTGAATAGCGTTCACTCAAGCAGCTGCGCAAAAACCAGAACTAGAGCTGAGCCCAAGGTCAACCCGGCTGATGCTTAACGCACCGGAAAGATGTCGATCGGCAGACTAGTGTTGATTTGAAATCAGCACCCATGATCGAGCGCGCATTCGGCTAGTGCAGTCTGCACAGTGTGCATTCCTCACCCGCGTTTGCTTCACGTTCTGTTCTCCGAATAAACACCGGTTTCTCGCGTACTCACCCTGCTGGTTTTTCGTTGCTGGAGACTGGCCTATTCTCTACTCTAGCAGTGTCCGACACAACAGGAATCATGGCGGAAAACAAAAGCGGTATCTAAATAAGGAAAGAAAAGAACGGGCAGTTTTTTGTTCGTTTGTCTATTCGCAGTTTTAAGTTAGTTTTTGCCAAATTGTTTTATTAAAGGAGGAAAAGGATATCACCGCAACATGCAGAGATGCAAATCCACCACTGATATCGATCTTGGGCCAAACCTTCCAGGATCTAGAACCAGTGACACTGCGCATCTCTGGGATCCCAACCACGGAGTTGAAAACAACCAACCGAAGCCTGTTGCTCCGTCAGCTTTTTCATGCCGCTTCTCCAAGTCGTAGGTCGTCCACCGCGCCGCTTCCTCCAGCCCTACTCAGTAAACGCGAACAATGCATGAAGCGGAAAGCGCTGAGCTGGCATGCACAATACGTGATCAAGCCACCGCAATCGGCGTAGAGAGACAACCTACTCGAACGAGTGGCTGTCTCCCTGCAAGACTCATGGTCTAATTTCCGCATAGCTTACGTGGTGCAGCCACTATACACGAGCAATGCATCGCAAACAACGGTGCTCGACAGACAGACGTCGCAGGTCAACGGTTTCAAGCGTTCACGTCTCACAACTGTACAACAGTACAGCGTGGACGGTCGCACAATAAACGGAGAGAAGGACGTCATGGTGGTGCCACAAATGTCTCAGACTGGAGAAAGCGTGATGAGTTCTTGAGATGCGCATCAAAATTGCCTCTCTAATTTGAGTATGCGTACTTGGTCTCTAGGAAGACGCTGGAATTTCTGGTGGCTCGTCGACACATTCCGGTTGCGAGAGAACAAAAAGACACCCACAAAAATGTGATGGTAAGTCTGAAGACAGACCTCAAAACCCAGGGATCTCATCGTACATCAGAGATGGAAACTGCGGCTGCTCTTGGCAACCATCGGAATGTATTCCGTATTACACATGAAAGGGGTGGTAAGATGCCCAGTGTTAACCAAACTATACGCGACGAGAATGGATAGCTTCTCCACATTATGTCAAAACGTTTGAAGCGTTGAGCTGAGCAAGCTGAAAAACAAGTTAATCGGCCGGGAATATCAGATTCGCTGCCGGCCAGAAAACGCCCTACTCCCAGGGACATTTCTCTGTATCCGCTCTCGCGCGCAGAAGTCGAATGTGAGGTCAGATTGCTGAAGCCGCATAAGTCGGAATGACTATATGATCAACCTACAATCCTCTTCGAATTTCGGGTAGCAGATCTTGGTGACTACATGTTAGGCGAAGGCATCAGCAGTACGCCGGTACGCAGTGCCGACGCTTCGCTGGCACACAACCACCACCGGTCGCAAGTGGATTAAGGACATCGAGAGGGTCGCCCTGCCCCTACGCAGGTTCGAACCCGCGCCGTCAGATTACGAGGAAAGTTCGTTGCCTTTAGGCTACGAGCCGGTCGTACATGTACGAGTAACGAGTGGGACAGTGGGATCCAGAACCGGTCCCAACCAAATACAACCGCTCCGTTATAGTCATGATTTTCAGGAGAGGCTCACGCTCGGAGTGCGGTAACCATGGAGACATCTGTCTGATCAAATCGTCATCAAGTTATTTGCAGGTAAAAGCAAGATTCGCCATAAATAAACAATTTCGTCGAAATCGAGGCAACAGTAACCACATCTTGACCTTACACAAGTGAATGCAGCGTCACTAACCTTAATCGGACTTTTCGGTATCAAAGGTGTCTTCGACTTATGAATCGATACGCTTTTCAGGACTAATTGTATAGAAGAAGTATCCGGGAAATAGTCAAAAGTTATCGAAATGTTTCGTGTAGACAATGAGGGCATGGGGCGAACTACTACCGTTTTTCAATTTCTTTAGATGTGAAATAAGGATGCCCGCTATCACATTTCCTCTTTAACTTGTCCATTGATGATGTTATGAGGAGTGCGTTCACTGAAAATGACTTGGGAAGTGGGGGCTGCTTCCAGGCGATGGACTACTTGGATTGGAGTATGCCGACGATATTGCGATAATGTGTGATAGTTCATAAATTTGTCAAACAACGTTGGACAAATTAGCACTTGCAGTTAATGGTTTCGAGCTATGCTTTTGAGCCGTCAAAATGCAAAGCTTTCCTTAAGGATAGACGGGGACCAATCCGTGCGCTAACGGTTGGTGGAGATCAGCTAAAAGTTAGTCAGAACATGGGGGCCGGCACGGCATCGCTATCGTCCTGAAGAATAGAATCAACAATACAGCCGTCCGTCTAAATTTACCATGAGGTTGTGAAACTTGGACCATCAGATCGATAGACATAAAGAAGCTAGATGCGTTCGGTCAACGGTGCCGTTGGCGGGAACATGGTGTCAGCAATGAGCGTGTTTAGCGTCTCATATTTGGTGCAGTAAAAGCAAATGAACCTATCGGCACCATTAGTTTACGCAACAGTCTCCGATGGCTGGGTCACGTGTTAGGCATACCACTCCACTTATTCCCGCGATCTGCGTTGTTTCCGAGACCGGGATGTGGATGGAAGAGAAGGCCACGCGATGAGTTAGCAAGAGGAATGAAGACTTTAACTTCCAAGTTGGTCATTGTTGATGTCATCTAACCCAGGGAGTTGATTTCTGAAAGACAACCAAGCTTTGTTGGACACTTATTGACATTGGGAATAGCCGACTTCAATGGCGTTTATGATGTGAGTTTCTTGATCCCGTCCCATCTCTCTTGACCTACCCATCTAGCCACGACGTCAATATCGAGGCACAAGAGTAAAAAAGCATAATACTACTTTTTTATATTTTGTATGTTGTACGAATTATTGTTTTGTATTTTTTCCATATATATTACTGTGTTGTATCGCGACATAATAGTTGAGGATTACCTCACGTGTAGAATAATGACGAATGGTGACTGTGGGATTGAAGGCCCAAATAAATCTCGTGAAACATTAGTGAGACATTGTAGTATTGTGTGTGTGTGAGTAGGTTGGTAGCGAGTTACGGGGAAATATTGTCGTGATGGAATGTTCTGGAGATGGTCACGGACTTCTCACAAGACCAACCTCGAAGTACTTCTTCAGCAAGACCACATACATCAACTTCAGTCAGTTATCGGTTGGCGACCCTACAACTTCATCTAGCTAGCTGCACCAACAGCGAACAATGCAAAGCAGGTCAGACGGTCCGTACGCGTGCCGAGAGCAATGCAGACTCGATAAAACATGGGACGATGACATAAGGTTTAGTATCAAACACTGGCTGGTGGACTTCAAAATTCCCAGTTTGTAACTCCACTTAATATGGACGAAGCGCTGTAAGAACCGATCCGCAAATATGACCAGTCTTCCAATGAGCTCAAGGCACAGCAGCCATTCCTCTGACAACAACGTTGGTCGTATCCTAACGCTGTACGTCCTCTCCTGGATTGATGAGTCAGGTGAACGCCATAACCAGAGGGCCGCAAAATCGGTCATCGGACCTTCTCAAGAGGGTCGCATCTCGACGTACTGAGAAGTCGAATTGCGGTCCAAGCATTAGGGGTGGTCTCAAGAAGTTGTGCCCCGTAGCCCAAATTCTCTAATGCCACAATGTACGCTAATGCTGAAAGCATGTAGAAGCTTCGGTGTTCCACACCAGTCTATCCGGAGGCATTTACACATAAACTCAAGGCGACCATGAAAGTAAAAAATATCTTGCAAATGCTGCGCTTTCATATATCACCTGGCAAAATTCGCAGAGATTTTCGGAGTAGACAACGGATCATTTGGACAAAGCGCGTAAAAATTGGAAAGAGCAGTAATGAGGCAATCATACTGCTGTCACTTTGCTGTAGCGAACTGAGAGGGAGGTTACCATAGGTTGGTTTATGGTCGTAAATAGTTGTAGATATTAAAGTGGCAAGGATTATTTCAGGCGCCGCTAAGAAATGCCGTGAACGCCTTCATTCAGCTCAACAAAAACTGAGGCAACGCGTACACGCATGATATTCACATAGTAGGTGGAAAGTGACATGGTTGGCACCATAACCACAGTCGGCGGAGGAACTAAAAGAATTATCATCGATTCGAATCTTAAAGGAGTCGATAAGTTTACGTCCCGCCGTCTGTGTAAGGATTTGAAAGGCCACATGAGCGTTAGCTATGTGCAGTAACTTGTTTGGTGATTTGACTACCAACAGCGATACGCAGCTATCCAAGTAAGCCGGTCGATAACTTGGGATGGCTGTTTCATTAATAAGAGCTGGTGGTTAGTCGGTGATTAATGACCAAGTGAAGCTAGGTCAGTTATGTCAGTTGGACTGCAGCGTAACAGCTAAACGAACTTACAATGACTCATTCAACCGAGTGGGTAGTACCGTCAGTTTTGTAACAGACCATATGGAATTGTAACGGAATGTCTGAACCGTCAACCCAAACCTAATAATTACATACTCTATGATGGGTGATGTTTGGGTACACAGTTCCTGCCCATCTGGATGTTGTTGGATCTACACGCCTGCCTGGTTGGGGACCAAAGACGGTGCTGTTGGCTCGAGACAATCTAGGATACGGCGCGCAGCCGAAACCAGTGGAAGATCTGTGCAAATACTTGTTTAGAAGCAGATGCTTGATACCAAACGGTTCAAAAAAAAGCGAAAAACAGTATACGAAAGAACAAAAAATTGCTCAGTTTTTTCTTGCGGCATAATAGCCAATGTGGCGATTCTCCCTATTGCTTTCCACTGATTTAGCTTGGTTTAATGTCTGATCAATAAAGTGTTGAATGGTTGGCGACATCCGGTTTCGGATTTGCCTGTCACTGTGGCCAGCCACAGGACGCTTGCGCCTACAGAGGGACCATGGGTGGCTTGCGCTGCACCACCCACAGCTCCATCCACACACCCCATATCCCAGTGTAAACCCGAACGAATAAGACCAGGAGGCATGTGGATGGGAGCCACGTTGCATCATCGGAGCCGGCCCACACTCCTACACAGGCAAACACAAGCACGCTGTATTTGGGGAATCAACCGCACACAAAGCGGTGGCTGGACCGTAGTCCGCTCCACACTGAGTGCATGGAACCACTCTTTGGTCCTAACACGGCCACAGAAACCGTGCACCGCGTCCCCTCCAGCAACGACCAAATGTCTCCTGGAGCCAGTATGGACGAGGTAGTGGGTAATAGACAGGTAGGCACCTTTTCAACATGCGCATCAAGCGCAGCCACACCGGGGATATCAAACAACAGCCAAACACGTGAGAGAGAGATACAAAGAAAATAACTCGATTAATGCATAAGGAAACGGTGACATAAACCTTAAGTTATAATGAGCATATGAAATAAGTTGTTTACAAACGTATCCTAGATAAGTTCACGAGGTCAGAAAGTATACTTTACGGAAATGCCACGAACACAGAAATGTTATGAAAATCGAATACAATTGGCTTAAGCGAGGTATGCAAGTTAATGAAATAGAGTACGAGTAGACATTTATATGAGAAAGAAAAGCATTAAGGCAAAACTGAAAACCCACCACCTGAAATAAAGAGGAAACGCTGCGCTGTGTTGAATACGTATATATATATATATATATATATATATATATATATATATATATATCATCAGACTAGTCAGGCAACGCGATACGGAAAATTGACAAGAAGAACCCAGCGAAAACCGAAGTGTTTGCGAAGAAACATCCATGAAACTAACGAGGCCAGTGAATCGATGAAACAAATGGTCAAGCATTCTACCAAAATAATAAAAGGTGGTTTAGTTGACTTGTGGACGAGTTTAATATCTACCTCGAATATTGTTCCATAGATCACAGTAGCAGCGTCATTTAAAACAACTGGAATCACCGTACCCGGGTGCCTTCAATGCCAAGAGAGGAACGGAGTGAAATGAGATGAGTACATAACTGAGCATGGTAAAATGAAATTGTCAAGAGTGGAGAACTAAATCCGTAAATGCAAGGTGTTTGACCAAGACTCAATGTCACAATAGTTGGCTGCAATGAAAGGTCGAATAAAGCACCGCTCGGTCTTTGTGACCCAAAGTTATCCCAGTATCGACCAAATTCTTTTTGACAAGAATACAGTGAGAAATAGAACGTGCCATGGAACACGCAACAACAAACTGACCGCGCATAGAAAGTCTTGTTCTTGTAAGTTCTAGGTTTTCATAGAATTTATCGCATAACATATGGTGAATGACGTTCAGGAGAAAGTGGACTACTCTGTGAAATGGAGATACCATCCTTGATGCGACACCACAGGGAAGTAGCGCACCGTGTATTGCTCTCATGTAACACAGACACGCTGTTTTACTACCCAGTGGATTGTTTCTTCGTCTCACTTTTTCATTAAAATTAATCTGTACCTTTTTGCATCGTGCTTTGGCACTTGGAGCATAGTTGCTCGACCAAAACAGAAACCGCAACTAATGGAGCCTAAACATCGCCAACGCAGTGAGCGGTACCTAGGGTAAAGTTACAGACAAAAGGCCAGGTAGAAAGCCCAAGTCAGCGGATTAATCCTTAAAAAGTAGCTATGCCAAAATCCCAAAGAGATGACATGATATGGACTCTACTGGATCGAAATATCTATGGTGTCATCAAAACAGGTCGAGGAGGACAGCATATAGATAGAAAAAACAAAAGCGAACACTAGATGTTTCGCGTCACAAAGAGCACGAAAATCTCTAAACGAATGATCAAAAAGACGCAAAAAGCTTAAAAAGTGTGTGGGCCCAGGTGCATCTGCACTGTAAGATGAAAACAGCCAAGCGGATATGAATGGAGTGATAGAATAAGGGAGTAGACAAGCAAACATAACACAGCAAGATTGGGAAACGGTGGGAAGTAGAGTGAAAAACAAGCGCTGAGTGAAATTCTCTTACCTTAAGGCCTTGAATGCCGTAGATGCTTGTGAGTTTATTGTACCGCAGCAGTAAGCTCTCCAGACTGCATAAACCGGAAATACAAGGTGGGAGGTTGCCTTCAAGTCGGTTGTGGCGGAGGTCCAATTGTTTGAGATGCGTCAAGTTGGATAATTCCTTGGGTAATTTGGTCAGCATGTTTTGCTGCATTAGTAAGTGTTGAAGATTGGTCAAATGACCTATGCTCGGGGGTAGGCTGGTCAATTTGTTGTTGTACAAATACAACTCCGTGATCCAAGGAAGATCTTCGAATACGTTGTTTTGAAGCTGAGGGAGTTCCTCGTTCGATAAGTCGAGCACTGGTTTTTTGGATTCGCGACATTCAGCAATCTTTTTACTGATATCCTGAATAAGAAAAGTGGAGAGCAAAACGTTGGATAACTTCGTGGCCACAAGAAGAAAAGTTACGGAAACAGTGAGAAGTTAATATCAACTGACCCGCAAGTAAAAGGAAGCTGAGGAACTGTTAAGGGATAGTCTGCAAATGTTGTACTCTTTAATTAAGTTTATGACTGGAGGTGCCATCGACACTTTACAGAAAGCATCCGCTACTATTTCCATCACGATGTAGTGAAGCTTATCACCACGTACCAACCGACATACATTGCCTATACACCTTTTCGGCGCAATCATTGGTACGGATTCTACATTGCTGTCATTTTGACCTGATGATGCTGTAAGATCTTAACGAGAGATGAAACTCGCTTGGTGACAAACACGTCAGTTGGCTGAGTTAAAAGAGAAAAATAGTAGGCGAAAACTGTCTAATGATACCCTTTTCGACAAAGCAGGGTTGAACAGTGCCACTAGTACAGGAAGCGCTGCAACAGCGCCCCATAGACTGCGTTTGGAATTTACCCCTTACACAATCATTCAAAGGCGGTAACATCAAACATAAAGATGTAGATAGATTTGTGAGCGACGTGTAACCATACGCCCATGGCTCCCGCTTATATACAACTGACTGGTGGTAGATCGCAGAAACAGTGAGCACTTAGCCAGCAAGAGAACGCAATCAAGGATAATGTATATGTGCCGTCATAAAAGAAGCGGGACTGAAATATGATCCTATCCATTTCTGTACTGCGGAATCAATGCCACCTCCCCGCAACTTTGTGGACAGGCTTTTGAGCCAAAGGCTTTGGATGAGGACCCTAACCGTCCTCCTGTCCACGTCTGGGCGCCCTGGCAGTATCTCAGCCTACATACAACCATGACTGTTTCTTCAAACACAAACTTCATTCAACATGCGTCGCCTTATCTGCTGCGTACAGCTGGACGGATATGCGAAAACATGCTACTGTTGGCGCTTCCTTTCTTTTCCACCTGCTTCTCTTACTCCCATCCCGACTCTCATTACTAACCTTCCTTCTATAATTCCTAGCTTAATCGATATCAACCGAAGTGCCACTGGAGTAGATCCATCTGCAGCCACCTTTCCACAACACCCATCGGACGCCTATTGGCAACAGTCCATTATAAGGCCACGCTGTCGCGTATCCCTGGCGACGTTCAACGTTCGCACGCTAAGACAAATTGATCAATAGGCTGCACTCGAACGCACCTTGGACACACTGGGTATTGACGTTTGTTGTGTGTCCGAAACTAGGATCAATAAACCTAATGAGGTTGTTGAAGAAACTGCGCCCGGCTTGTCCTCTCGCTATTGGTTACACGAATCCGGAGACGCTGATGCAGCACTGACCGATCAAGCTGGTGTAGGTATCATTCTAAGCTCCAAGGCTGAGCCATCGTTGGTTGATTGGATTCCGGTGAACAGCCGTTTATGTGCAGCCCGTTTGAGGACATCAGCTAAGGTGGATTCACGAAATAGTACAAAACGCTGTTTGTTTGTGAGTTCCGCTTATGTAGCCACCGACTGCAGTTCAAATGCCATCAAAGAGACATGCTATCATCAACTGAACGCGCTACTACGCAGTGCTACCAGTTTAGTTTATAGTACTTGAAGAGGATGTGAACGCACAAGCATGGCGTATGAGCTCCTCAGAAGCTCAACTGGGTAGTAATTATGGGCTTAACTCCGAACGGACTGACAACGGCGAGCATCTGCTGCAACTGCGTGTGGAGCACCGGTTGTTCCTTAGTAGCACTGTTTTACACAGTGGGCGCCGAAGTGCCACGGCGTCCTCCTGTAGCTGGCCAGCGATGGACCCAAGTTGATCACATTGCCATAAGTTACACCTGCGTGGTTCCATCCAATATTTCCGCTCGTACTGGAATACCCGTGTCAACTATGATCATGTCTTGGTATGCTGTCGTTTCTCCATGAACTTTACTGGGAGGCGCACCAAGCCTCTCTTCCGATTTGCAACTGGGAAATTGTCTCAACCCTCGGTCAGGCAAGCCTATCAAGACGCACTGCGTACCGAATTTTCGCTGTCTTGTCCTAATGACACTGAGCTTCAGTTGAATAGGATTTTGGCCGTCATGCACAACAAAGAAACATCCGATTGTGGCATTATCAATCGTCACCGCACCAGCCATTGGGTATCCGAGTCGGTGAACCTGCTGGGATCCAGAAGAAACCTCCTGGCTGGCTCTGTGCACAATGTGACCAGACAGACTATTTGGCGCGAACTAAAGTGGAGTCTGTGTGCTCTAAAGGATGTCTGGTGGAACAGTCGGAGTCAGGAAATAGAGGAGGCAAGAGCAGTAAGCAAGTACCGTAACCTCTTCCGGCTGATCCGCACCACTGGTCCCGGAAACCAGGCGTCAGTGAGACAATCAAAGACAGCGCATGTGCACTGATACACAATAAGGAACGCTGTATGGCTCCTTGGGCGGAACACTTTCAAGATCAGTTCAGTTGGCCCCCTGCTGCCTGACCTCTTCCTATTCAGGTGATACAGGACGAGCTATGGACGGTTAGTTTAGAAGCCTCCGTCAGAGGAGGAGGTCCGAAACGTGATCACAGCCCGCAATCGTTTTCATAAAGATAGCCCGAATTCCCTCAAACCTGCACTACATAACCATAAAGGTAAGATCCTCTGCAAAGCAATGACCTCTCCATTCCAAAAAGCTCGAAAGAAGGGTGATCGGCAAACTGGAGCGAATCCATTACAGTGTCAATAAACATAAAGGGCAGTAGCACAAAGAATGCTACCTAAATGGTTTTTACCTACCAAACAACATCATCAGCAGCAGTAGAACAGAAATCTGAATCGATGCTTCGTTGCCATATAACCATGAGCATTTACAAAATAAAGAATAATAGGGAGAGAAGTAGGACTTACCTGAAAACAATTCCCCAAGCAAACGTTCAGGGTCAAGACGCCTACGCCTTGTGTTAGCAACATACCGTCTCAAACAGTGGCTGTGGTGCAAAGATAAGGCAGCATCGGGGAGACAGCTTTCTTGCGGCTTCTACGCGTCATAATCAGCCATTAACCCATAGATAGCACTGCACCAAACACACTTTAAACAGGCAGTCCGGCTGGGATACGGCAGCAGATGCGCCACTGGTGTCGGCTGCGAGTCACGTCCTGCAGTCTCGAAACAAGCACAACGTGGGTCACGTTGACTGCATTCCGGAAGGCGAGATGGACCAACGGCACCCAGTTTGGTCGTCAGTGACTTTATTTCACGCTGTCATGTCAACTTCTGTCCACCACGAGCATTGCACCACCCTACAACGGGAAGGCTAAACAAGTTACTCCTAGGTAAGCAGTGACCAGGCATACGTAGCAAGTGCCCGAGCCAACGAGACTTATTCAGTGCTATCTGTTGTTCTAGGGAGCTAGCATTAGTATCACCTAATCGCCTACGCACATCATCGTTGCGGACAAACTGGTGCCATCCGACACCAGCAATTCTTCGAAGACTTGAAAGCGCCTCAGATCTTCAGACCCAAGGGGCCAAGTCTCACTACCATAGAGCAGAATGGCCCTCATTGTCGCCTTGTATGCAAGGCATTTCAGACGGACGGAAATTCCATTCTGTTGCCAAAGATGCCGCAGGTTCAAGAAGGCAGTTCAGGCCTTTGCAATGTGTGAACTGACTTCGGTTTCTATACGCCCATCACTGCTGATGCAGCTGCCTAGGTAAGTGAATTGATCAACCAGCTCCAGTTCCTTGTTAGCAAGGGCCAAGGAGTCATAAAGTGGCTGGTGGTCCCGCAATAACACTTTGCACATTGAAGGTGCGAAATGCATACCAACTAATGGGACCACTCTAGACAGTCTATTCAGGGTCGATGGGGCCGTCCCAACATCATCAAAAGTAAGAGGATATCGTCCACATAATCAAGATCAACTAACATTTCACCAGGCAGCATTTCAACGCCTACATCGTGAGATTCCGTAAGGAAACACTCTATGATAGAGTCCACGACGAAATTGAACAAAAATGGGGAAATTGGACAATCTTGATGAACGCCACTTGTGATCGGAAAGCTATCCGATAGGACACCGTAGACCCTGACACGGTCTGTAGTGTTCGAGTATAGAGCACGTAGGATGTTCACATATTTCGTGGGAACACCTTTCCGCGCAAGTATTTCGAACAGAATCGATCGATCGACTGAATCGAACGCACGCCTGAAGTCGAGGAACACAGCTATTGTCATCATATGGTAGGCGTGGCGCTGCTCTAGCACCTGCCGCAGAGTGAATATATCGTCTATATAGACACGTCCAGGGAGGAAACCCGTCTGCTCTTTCAAAATCCGAGAATCCCGCTCCACAGCGACGCGATGAACGTGAATCCAGACCAGCAATTTTGTCACAACTGGATTTGTGTTAATACCCCTGAGGTTAGCACCGTTTGCGGGACTGCACTTCATGTCTGTTGCCACTGTAATCGATTCGCTCCAGCTAAATGGGACACTTCCTTATTCACTTCTATCCTTAAACAGCGTACGTGGGAAGGAATTCGGGCTACATTTATGAAAACGATTGCGGGCTGTGATCACGTTTCGGACCTCCTCCTCTGACGGAGGCTTCTAAACTAACCGTCCATAGCTCGTCCTGTATCACCTGAATAGGAAGAGGTCAGGCAGCAGGGGGCCAACTGAACTGATCTTGAAAGTGTTCCGCCCAAGGAGCCATACAGCGTTCCTTATTGTGTATCAGTGCACATGCGCTGTCTTTGATTGTCTCACTGACGCCTGGTTTCCGGGACTAGTGGTGCGGATCAGCCGGAAGAGGTTACGGTACTTGCTTACTGCTCTTGCCTCCTCTATTTCCTGACTCCGACTGTTCCACCAGACATCCTTTAGAGCACACAGACTCCACTTTAGTTCGCGCCAAATAGTCTGTCTGGTCACATTGTGCACAGAGCCAGCCAGGAGGTTTCTTCTGGATCCCAGCAGGTTCACCGACTCGGATAGCCAATGGCTAGTGTGGTGACGATTGGTAATGCCACAATCGGATGTTTCTTTGTCGTGCATGACGGCCAAAATCCTATTCAACTGAAGCTCAGTGTCATTAGGACAAGCCAGCGAAAGTTCGGTACGCAGTGCGTCTTGATAGGCTTGCCTGACCGAGGGTTGAGACAATTTCCCAGTTGCAAATCGGAAGAGAGGCTTGGTGCGCCTCCCAGTA